AGTTTATTTTTAGATCACATGACCCAAAGGGCCAAGTGAGCTTTTCTCATCACTTAGAGTCCATTGTCATCCATTAACTTTTACAAAAATCATTTTGAAAGTTATTAAAGATAGAAAGACACTTCAAAAAGCAAAACTATCAAATCAGTCATATTTTGCCGACTATGTAGAAGACTCTTTATCATGTTCATAGGAGTGATTGCCCTTAAATGACAATTTTTTTTTACTATTTGTGTTTTGGGCAAAAACTAAAGAAAATGGAGAGGAACTGTTAAAAGAAAAAATGATCAGAAATAAAAGATCAAATGAATCTATTATATTCTAATCCTCAAAGGTATGTTGGAGAGTGTCCATTGTTGAAGATGCACCTAGATCTAGGTGAGCGACACTGGCTCTCTAGAGTCTCTAGTTTATCATTTTTTCCCATTATGAAAACTTTGATAGATAGGTATGATTGAGAGAAATTTTATATAGGAAACATTATCTGCAAGAATATAAAGATTTTCAATTAAGTCAACATTGGAGAAATTGTCAGTCGACTCCTGATTGGGGTTATTGCCCATTAATGATGATTTTTACAAATTTTATTCATTTTTACCTATTTTCTTGAAAACTTAAATAGATAGCAAAAATGATCAGCAAGACAAGATTTGAAAATAAGTCTCATTGCGGAAATCCTCAGTATAAAACTCTCTTTAGGAGTTATTGCCCTTTCATGACAATTTTTACCATTTTTAGCTCACCTGGCCCAAAGGGCCAAGTAAGCTTTTTGTCGAGCCTTCTACTTTTGTCGAAAAAGCGAGACATAGCGATCCTACATTCCGTCGGCGTCATCGTCGGCGGCGGCGTCCACAAATATTCACTCTGTGGTTAAAGTTTTTGAAATTTTAATAACTTTCTTAAACTATCCTGGATTTCGACCAAACTTGGACAGAAGCTTGTTTATGATCATAAGATTATATTCAAAAGTAAATTTTGTAAAAAAAAAATTCCATTTTTTCCGTATTTTACTTATAAGTGGACTTAGTTTTTCTGCCAGGAAACATTACATTCACTCTGTGGTTAAAGTTTTTGAAATTTTAATAACTTTCTTAAACTATCCTGGATTTCTACCAAACTTGGAAAGAAGCTTGTTTATGATCATAAGATAGTATCCAGAAGTAAATTTTGTAAAAAAAAAATTCCATTTTTTCCGTATTTTACTTATAAATGGACTTAGTTTTTCTGCCAGTTAACATTACATTCACTCTGTGGTTAAAGTTTTTAAAATTTTAACAACTTTCTTCAACTATCCTGGATTTGTACCACACTTGGACAGAAGCTTGTTTATGATCAAAAGCTAGTATCTAGAAGGAAATTTTGATAAAATTTTGTTCCATTTTTTCAGTATTTTACTTATAAATGGACTTAGTTTTTCTTCCAGTCAACATTACATACATTCTGCAGTTTAAGTTTTTAAAACATTTATTAGATTCATAAATTATCCTGGATTTTTACCAAACTTGGACAGAAGCTACTTACAATCAAAAGATAGTATAGAGAGAAATATTTTTATTAATTTTTTTCCTCATTTTTGTTGAGCCTGCCCTGCGATTAACACCAAAAGTAGGCGAGACACTGGGTTCCGCGGAACCCTTACGAATTTTCTCATCACTTGGCGTCCGTCATCGTTAACTTTTACAAAAATCTTCTCCTCTGAAACTACTAGGCCAAATTAAACCAAACTTGGCCACAATCATCATTGGGGTATCTAGTTTAAAAAATGTGTCCGGTGACCCGGCCAACCAACCAAGATGGCCGCCATGGCTAAAAATAGAACATATGGGTAAAATGTAGATTTTGGCTTATATCTCTGAAACCAAAGCATTGAGAGCAAATCTGACAGAGGGTAAAATTGTTTATCAGGTCAAGATCTATATGCCCTGAAATTTTCAGATGAATCTGACAACCCGTTGTTGGGTTGCTGACCCTGAATTGGTAATTTTAAGGAAATTTTGCCGTTTTTGGTTATTATCTTGAATTTTATTATAGATAGAGATAAACTGTAAACAGCAATAATGTTCAGCAAAGTAAGATCTACAATTAAGTCAACTTGACCAAAATGGTCAGTTGACCCCTTAAGGAGTAATTGCCCTTTATAGTCAATTTTTAACCATTTTTCATAAATTTTTGTAATCTTTTACAAAAATCTTCTCCTCTGAAACTACTAAGACAAATTTAACCAAACTTGTCCACAATCATTATTAGGTATCTATATTAAAAAGTGTGTCCGATGACCAAGACTGCGAACCAAGATGGCCAACATGGCTAAAAATAGTACATAGGGTAAAATGCCATTTTTGGCTCATATCTCTGAAACCAAAGCATTTAAACAAGGAATTATTTGAATCTGGAATAATTTTGAATTCTGGAAAATTGATGAGAAATATATGATGAAAACTAACCCAACTAAATAGGGTTAGCCATGCGGGCATGGCTAAGGTGGGTTAGTTAGTTCATACTGAAATGATAGTGAAAGTAAAATTAACCTTAGCCATGCACGCATGGCTAACCCTATTTAGTTGGGTTAGTTTTCATCATACATTTCTATTCAATTTTCCAGAATTCAAAATTATTCCAGATTCAAATAATTCCTTGTTTTTAGAGCAAATCTGACAGGATAAAATTGTTCATTGGGTCAAGATCTATCTGCTCTGAAATTTTCAGACCAATCAGGCAACACGTTGTTGGGTTGCTGCCCCTGAATTGGTAATTTTAAGAAAATTTTGCAGCTTTTGGTTATTTTCTTGAATATTATTATAGATAGAGATAAACTGTAAACAGCAATAATGTACAGCAAAGTAAGATCTACAAATAAGTCAACATGACCAAAATTGTCAATTGACCCCTTAAGGAGTTATTGCCCTTTATAGTCAATTTTTTACAATTTTCATAAATTTTGTAAATTTTTGTAAATTTTTACAAAATATTTTCCACTGTAACTACTGGGCCAAGTTCATTATAGATAGAGATAATTGTAAGCAGCAAGAATGTTCAGTAAAGTAAGATCTACAAACACATCACCATCACCAAAATACAATTTTGTCATGAATCCATCTGTGTCCTTTGTTTAATATGCACATATACCAAGGTGAACGACACAGGCTCTTTAGAGCCTCTAGTTTTGCGTTTTTATACGACCGCAAAAATTTAAAATTTTTTGGTCGTATATTGGTATGACGTTGGCGTCGTTGTCGTCGTCGTCGTCGTCGTCCGAAGACACATTGGTTTTCGCACTCTAACTTTAGTTTAGGTGAATGGATCTCCATGAAATTTTACAATAAGGTTCAATACCACAAAAGGAAGGTTGGGATTGATTTTGGGGGTTATGGTACCAACAGTTAAGGAATTAGGGACCAAAAAGGGGCCAAAAATAAGCATTTTTGTAACTTCCAGACATAACTTGTGTGTTAGTGTATGGATCTCTCTGACTTGTACCACAAGGTTCCATATCACAAGGGGAATGCTGGGATTGATTTTGGGGGTAATTGTCTCAAAATTTTAGGAATTAGGGGCCAAAAAAGGGGCAAAAAATAAGCATTTTTCTAGTTTCATGATAATAACTTGTGTGTTAGTGTATGGATCTTTCTGAAATTGAACTACAAGGTTCCATATCACAAAGGGAAAGATGGAATTGAGTTTGGGGATAATTGCCCAAAACGTTTAGGAATAAGGGGCCAAAAAGGGGCCAAAAATAGCATTTTTCTAGTTTCCAGACAATTACTTGTGTTCAAGTGTATGGATCTCTCTGAAATTGTACTGCAAGGTACCATACCACAAAGGGAAGGCTGGGATTGAATTTTAGGGTTAATTGCCTCAAAATTTTAGGAATTAGGGGCCAAAAAGGGGGAAAAAACAAGCATTTTTCTAGTTTGAGGACAATAACTTGTAAGTGTATGGATCTTTATGAAATTGTACTACAAGGTTCCATATCACAAGAGGAAAGCTGGGTTTGAGTTTGGGGGTAATTGCCCTAAACGTTTAGGAATTTGGGGCCAAAAAGGGGCCTAAAAACAAGCATTTTTCTAGTTTCCAGACAATAACTTGTGTTCAAGTGTATGGATCTCTCTGAAATTGTACTGCAAGGTACCATACCACAAAGGGAAGGCTGGGATTGAGTTTGGGGGTGATGAATCATTAGGGGGTTCAAAAAATTTAGGGGAGGGATTTTTTTTTCTTTAAAATTTTCCATTTTATAAATGGGTTATTACTGATTTATATATAAAAGCAAATAATAATGATATGGTTTGAATAGGTAAATTAAAATTTTTTAAGTTCTTAGACCACATTCATTCTGTGTCAGAAACCTATGCTGTATCAAATATTTAATCACAATCCAAATTCAGTGCTGTATCAAGCTTGAATGTTGTGTCCATACTTGCCCCAACTGTTCAGGGTTTCGACCTCTGTGGTCGTATCAAGCTGCGCCCAGCGGAGCATTTTATTGTCTATTATTTTGAAAACTTATAATCGTTATAATAGACAGATAAAAAGTTTAAAAAGCAAAAATGATCAGCAAAACAAGATCTGCAAATAGGTCAGCATAGATGAAATTGTCAGTTGTCTTCAACACAGACTTACAAGCTAATCATGTGCACTAGTTGAAAATGGGTCCGAACAAGAACTATACATGCATTAATTGATAATATATGGAAACAAATTAAAGCACAAGATGCTTTTCAAGACAGCAGGTCATTTTGACAAATGACACCTTGTTATGGAATGCCATGACTGCCTTATGCTGACGATCATAATTATATGCAGTGGTCACAAGCAAAATGTGGATTTAAAGTAAGCTGTCAGAGATCCTCCAATCAGTTTCAATATGAAATATACCTCAACAGAATTTATAATTGGCCATAGGCAAATAGTCAATCTGGTTCTTTCGTGACTAAATTCTGGCTAGCTGCCCTTTACAATAGGTTTTGGTATTTTTTTCAACAATGTAACATTTTTTGTAGATGGATATCAAGCCAAATACAATTAAAACAGACAATGTTACAGTAGATTTGTGTTTTCATCCAAAGAAAGATGTGTTAGCAACAGGAGATATGGAGGGTGATATTAGACTGTAAGTACCAGTAGTTACGTACACTCAGTTCAATTTTACCATGGGGTGTTAACAATAGGAGATATGGAGGGTGATATTAGACTGTAAGTACCAGTAGTTACACTCAGTTCAATTTTACCATGGGGTGTTAACAATAGGAGATATGGAGGGTGATATTAGACTGTAAGTACCAGTAGTTACACTCAGTTCAATTTACCATGGGGTGTTAGCAACAGGAGATATGGAGGGTGATATTAGACTGTAAGTACCAGTAGTTGCACTCAGCTCAATTTTACCATGGGGTGTTAACAATAGGAGATATGGAGGGTGATATTAGACTGTACGTAGCAGTAGTTACACTCAGTTCAATTTTACCATGGGGTGTTAACAATAGGAGATATGGAGGGTGATATTAGACTGTACGTACCAGTAGTTACACTCAGTTCAATTTTACCATGAGCATGTATATCTACACTTAACTTTTCTCAATAGTTTTGGATTTTGAAATCGTACATGTATTTACCTCAAAACTTAAAAACAAAATGTCATGCTATTCATATTGTAATCAAGCTGTGATTTATGATCAAAGGTTAGGTTAGGTTAATCCTATACATACTCTATACCACATTGTAATCAAGCTGTGATTTATGATCAAAGGCTAGGTTAATCCTATACATACTCTATACCACGTTGTAATCAAGCTGTGATTTATGATCAAAGATTATGTTGGGTTAATCCTATACATACTCTATACCACATTGTAATCAAGCTGTGATTTATGATCAAAGATTAGGTTAGGTTAATCCTATACATACTCTATACCATATTGTAATCAAGCTGTGATTTATGATCAAAGATTAGGTTAGGTTAATCCTATACATACTCTATACCATATTGTAATCAAGCTGTGATTTATGATCATAGGTTAGGTTAGGTTAATCCTATACATACTCTATACCACATTGTAAGTCTGCATAAGAGACACCCTAATGTAGTCTTTAGCTTTACATTGAATTCCATGCTGTGCACAGACTTAGAAGTTAGAAGGTTTGCAGATATTGACATACACCACACATCTCCTTTAGTTTATAATTTCAGATCTTTACTGTATTGATTTGAATATTATTTTCAGAATAAATACATGCATTGATAATCCAGGATAGATGAAGACATTTTTTAAAACAAAAAGGCTTAAATATATCATTTTGTCATTTTAATTGAGATTTTGTATAAAAAGAGATTTATATTATTCAATACAACCTGCTCATGGAGAATAGTTTAGAAATTACCAACAATTTCAGAACATGTTGATAGGGTTAATATCCATGTTTTTTTTTCTTCAATTGTCCAAATAGTGTATTTCACTGGTTTAGTTAATATTATGATGGCCATCATCATTTAATGATACATGTATCAGTCTATAAATACAAAATCCAGACTTTTTTAAAAGGAAAATACAAAATGTACAACACAAACATTGAAAATAGAATAGCATAAAATACAACACTGCTAACTAAAACAAACAGTGTGATAACAAAAAGGAACACAAACTGCTTAAGACGAACAATACTAGGGGCTATTTATTGTAATTTTTTTTATGATTTTTGTAGATATTCATATCCTGCTACAGGAGACACAAGTGAGATAATGACATTAACACATCATAAGAAAGCTTGCCGATGTCTGAGATTCTCCAACAATGGAGAAGAGCTATACACAGCATCAAAAGACAAATCAATACAAATAATAGATTTAAATACTGGTGGTGTAAAACACAAGTTCAAAAAAGCTCATGAGTAAGTTTTCACATTTTAACTTTAACTTGGAAGAATGACAGTTTTTATACGACCACAAAAAAATTTTGGGGTCGTATATTGCTATCACGTCATCGTCCAAAGACATTTGGTTTCCGGACAATAACTTTAGTTTAAGTGTATGGATCTCTATGAAATTTTATCAAAAGGTTCAATACCACAAAAGGAAGGTTGAGATTGTTTTTTAGGGTGATGGTCCCAACCGTTTAGGAATTGGGGGCCAAAAAGGGGCCCAAAACAAGCATTTTTCTGGTTTCAGGACAATAACTTGTGTATAAGTATTTTGATTGCTCTGAATTTGTACCATAAGGTTTAATACCACAAGTAGAAGGTTGGGATTCATTTTGCGGGTAATTGCCCAATCCCTTCAGGAATTTGGGGCCAAAAAGGGTCTGAAACAAGCATTTTTCTAGTTTTCAGACAACAACTTGTGTTTCACCCACCTACGATAGTAGTAGGGGCATTATGTTTTCTGGCCTGTTCGTCTGTTCGTCTATCTGTCTGTGTGTCCGTTCGTCCGTCTGTCCCGCTTCAGGTTAAAGTTTTTGGTCAAGGTAGTTTTTGATGAAGTTGAAGTCCAATCAACTTGAAACTTAGTACACATGTTCCCTATGATATGATCTTTCTAATTTTAATGCCAAATTAGAGTTTTGACTCCAATTTCAAGGTCCACTGAACGTAGAAAATGATAGTGCGAGTGGGGCATCCGTGTACTATGCACACATTCTTGTTTATTTTTACTCATGCATAAAAATTTAAAGTCAGTGGTTGTAGTAAGAATAAAGTGAATTGTGTTTGCAGATTTCATTTGCTTTATTGTAGCATGTTCTGTTGGGAAAAGGGAAATATGGGATTGGATGAACATGAAACAAAATTCTCACGATACATAATATACCAAAGGATTGTAATAATAATTTCATATTTTAGTCTGGGAAAACAAGAGTTATTTATGAGTTGAAATTGGGATTTTATCTAGCTTTCAGTAACTGTGAGGAATCTTAGATCTTGTGTCCTTTGTCTTTATGTTAGTTGTTTTTGTGCTTGGTATCAAACTGATGAGGCTGCGACCTTCATGACCTATAGTTGTTTACATCCTTGACCTTTGATCTATGGTTTTATTGCTGTCTCATTGGCAATCATACCACATCTCCTTATTTTTATATTTCTCTTTTGTAACTTAAAATATCTTTCAGCACTTACTTTAAATTATATCTAAATGCAACTCAGTATTTTACATAATTGTGAATACACATGTATGATATTTACAGCTGTCCTGTTTACTGTATGCTGGTGACTGGGGAACATTTTATAGCAACAGGCGATGATGATGGTGTGATTAAGGTAATGTCAAGCATTTTGATAAGATAATCTGTTCAGATATAGTATAAAACAAACCGGAGATCATAAAATAAAATATATACGGTATGTATTTTTTTCACACATATTTTGACTTGAATATACAAACACATTGTATTTGCATGCAAGATCCTTGAATTAATATCACAAGGATATATAAATACATGATATAAATTCAATTAAACAGTTTATGACTAAACAAAATACCAAGATGTTGATCAATACAACAAGCCAATTCAGGAGAAAAGTACAAAATGTAACAAATAATGAACCAGGCTAATTAAATGTGACACTCACAACCTATCTCTATCTTACAGACTATGATCAAATAATCATTGCAGTTTTGAACTACTACTCAAAGTATGGACTAAACTGTACTCACAATTGATATTAATCTCTAAAGGCTACATGTACCTAACATGTTCCAACTCATGTCTACATCATACAAAAAGCATGAAAAGACAATACTGATTATTAATGTGTTGATAATTTTTTTCAAATGCTGAGAAATTAAAAACACAGGAATGCATTGTCAATACCTAAGTCATGAAAATAAGTACATGGGGGAAAAAAGGTACAAACAGTATTCAATATACAATATGTAGAATTAAATATAAATTTAATGTTATTAGTATACATGTATGTTATTTTATTGTTATCAGTATACATGTATGTTATTTTATTATTATCAGTATACATGTATGTTATTTTATTGTTATCAGTATACTTGTATGTTATTTTATTGTTATCAGTATACATGTATGTATGTTATTTTATTGTTATTAGTATACATGTATGTTATTTATTGTTATTAGTATACATGTATGTTATTAGTATACATGTATGTTATTTTCAGAACAGATTTGGGATGTGAGAATTAACAAAGAGGTTATTGAAATAAAAGAAAATGAAGATTTTATCAGTGACATGGGAATTGATCCACATAAAAGAATGCTGCTAGCAACCAGGTAAGGGGAGATAATTGCAGTTGACCAATTTTGGCAAAATAAAAGCTCTTGGACATAGATAATTTCATGAAAATTGAACTTGTATGGACTTTTTTTTGTAATGATTGTAGATCTCGAGTCTAGTAAACAAGTGTATGATGATTACTTACAGATATAGTTTTTGTTTCCTTCCAGCTGACAACTTTGACAGAATTACATCTGACTTTTTGCAAAAAGGCTGCAGACTGGGCCATAGCTGTAGGCTACATTTAGTTCACAATGCAATATGAAAACATCATGAGAGTTTGCTGAGTTCCATTTTACTTACAAACTGTATTCTTTTTTTAGATGATTTTCTGAATCTTAATTTTTTCTTGTATTTCAGGAAGATAATGTCAAAGGTCATATCATGAGCAGTTCATTAATTATAGCTTTTATTTTAATTTAATACATCTATAAAACCATGAGAAAATTTGATCTTTTGAATTTAATTGCAACAGATCACCTCTAAAATATTGTATATGTTATTTTCAGTGGCGATGGTACACTTACAGCCTACAATATCAGACGGAAAAAGTTAGAAATGCAGTCTGAACTGTTTGATTCAGAGTTTCTATCAATAGCACAAATGAAGGTAAAATCATAGTGTGACATAATTGAACCTATGATAGCTCTGATGTAGAAAAGATAATTTTATACAAATAAGAACTTCAATTTTATATACAGATTGGTAGTATAATGTCATATAATATTTCTCCTATAGGCTATTAGAAGCATCAAGCTAGATATTCATTCATGATAAGAAAATAAGAAGAGAATTTGAAATGGTTATTGTTCACCAAATAGTGGGGAAGAAGGTTCAGAAGTGAAAATGTATAGGTGTGGTCTTTTCAAAACACAAAACACTGGAAGTTGGCGATCTCTGGAAAGCTTTCGAGACACAGATTTGTCATAGAACCTTTTTCAAGTTATTTTTCATAATATTTTATCCTACTTTATTCAATTTAATGATAAATGTTTTAAATATGTATAAAATCAACATTCATATATATGAATCCGGTAATTAATGATATATTTGCTAAATTAAGGGTAGGATTTTGAAATTTCTGAAGTTATGTTGTGAAGCTCCCATCAATATCTGGATTGACAGCTATGAAAATGTATCAATGATTTGCTTTTGGGAAAAGAAGGCTTGAAGTCTTATACTACTGTTCAAAGTTACAAGGCTCTAATATTTCTGTGCTTATATTTTAGCAAATTATCTCTGTTTATAACCCACAATTTGTTTTAATTATCATTCTTTCAAGTGCTAAGTTACTAAGAAATTGATAAAGTAAATAGATTTTGATGTTTTGTTTATCAGTTATAAATTACATTTATTATAATTTAGAAGTTTGAAACGATTTTGTTTTGGGTATTCTCTGCATATTGTTGTGTCAGTTACATTGACTTTATACTAGATACAGAGAAAGTAAGAATAAACACCAACCTGTCATAAGTGGTGTGTAATATAGTCAGGGAAAGAAGAGTGGAAGATCATTTTTGTGGTTAATAGTGAGAAAGGGGAGAGATGCAATGTTACCAAACCTATTCAGCTGCTATGCAAATATATACACATACAGCTTCAAATTCTTGTGTATGGGGGGTGTACAGGTAAACTTAGATATATCTCATTTTAATTACAGAACAATCAGAAAGTAGTTTGTGGATCTGGAGATGGTGTATTTTACCTGTTTAATTGGGGAGAATGGGGTAATATGAGTGACATGTTCCCTGCCCTCAATTCTCCACCTGTTTCTTTAGACTGCATGGTAGCTCTCACAGATGATATTATATGTTGTGGATGTGATGATGGTAATATCAGGTTAGAGTTTTATTTAAAGCAATAATCTGTTCTTATTCTCTATATATGTAGAATTATAAACATTTAGCTTAAGTCTTCGAGCTATCTCATCTCATTTTATTTATGAACACAGAATCTGTCTTTATCTTACTGTGAGATATATTTTAACACAACATGTTTTTGGTTGAAATAAAAATAAAAACTTAAAAGTATGAATAAAAGGAGATGTTGGTTTTATGTCAATGAGACTGCATCCAAGTAACAAATTTAGATGTCAACATTCAGTCTTGTCTTCAACAACATATTTCATGTTTATTCATAACATTACTTACATGAACATTTCCCAAGACTTTTAAGTAATTTTCATTTATTACCTGCATTGCCGAAGGCGAAAGCAGGTCAAGTAACCACTCAACTCTGTCCGTAGAAAGACCTCGGGTAGAAAACTTTTGTCAATGTTTTCTTGACTTCTATTGAAGGAATGATTTTATATTTGGTCTGCAGCTTAATAATGATGAGTTGTAGCATGTAAGCAATTTTTACATCTGCCTTGCAGGCACTTTCTGTTTGCCAATAGTTTGAAATTTTACAACACTCATTGTACAAGAAAATTTACGTCAAAGCCTCCCGTGTTGCCAAAAGCAGATGATGATGCTATAAGTTTGAAAAGAAATATCAAAGCAATTAAGATTTCTAATTTACCAATAAAATTAGATTTTTTGTACACAAATTTTTTGTATGTCATGAATGTACTGTAAATTCAGAAATTATTGCGAAGTTTTTATTAATGTAAATAATGCGACTCATTGAGTATCACAATAATAAGAACTCACATTCTGATATCTGGTACATATATCTGTATGTAGCTTTTCCTAAAATTGCGATAATTTAACCTGCATTTTTGTTCATTCTTCAAAAATCACAATAATAAATGCACGCAATAATTTCTGAATTTACAGTATTTAATTCAGATAAGATAACTGAAAAACTACAAAGCAGCTGAATTTCACAATAAGTTCTGCAGGAATCCAGGTGACCTTAACTGGTAATAGATTTATAAACAAATTTGGAAAGAAATTTTGTTCTATACATTGAATACAATTCTTTCTTTTCCAGAGCTATTAATATATTACCAAATAGAATTATTGGTGTTGTTGGTGACCATGAGAAATTCCCTGTGGAGAACATCAGTCTATCACATGACAAAAAATTACTGGCTAGTTGCTCACATGATCAAACAATTAAATTCTGGAATATTGACAATTTGGATGAACAGAGAGTGAGTGACAAAAAGAAGAAGAAATCTAATAAGTCTAAACTTTTATCATCGGCTGGTAAGAAGGATGACTTCTTTTCAGGACTTGCTGAAGGAGGTGGCGCTAGCAATGACTCTAGTAACGATGATGATGATAGTGATGATGATGACGAAAGTGAAGATGATGATGACAGTGATGAAAATTAAAAAAAGTTTTACAAAGTATTCTTTTGTTAAAAAAAGGGAGCCAAACTAGAAAGCTTTGTAAATCTATGTTTGTCTGTTTGTAGACCTTGCTTTACTGGTTTTTGTCTAGCCTGCCACTTCTGTCCCAGAAAGTGAGACAATGGGATAGTGATTCGGCGGCGGCGTTAACTGATTACTTAAAAGCTTAATAATTCAGAAGGTAGAAGACCTGGATGCTTCATACTTTGTATATAGATGCCTGATGTTATGAAGTTTCTGTCTCTCATATGTCCATTGTCCTTCACCTCATTTTCAGTGACTACTTGAATTGTATTTTTTGTAATGTTCATTTCTCTCTTATTACATGTATTATGAGTAATAAGATAACTATATTTGGTATGTACATACCTTGCAGGGTCCTCATGCCTGTCAGACAGTTTTCACTTGACCTTGACCTCATTTCATGGATCAGTGATTGAGGTTGAGTTTTTGTGGTCAAGTCCATATCTCAGATACTATAAGCAATAGATTAATTGTAAGGTGTACATGTTAAATAGGCAGGTGTCGTCTGACCTTGACCTCATTTTCATGGTTCATTGGACAATGTTTAATTTTTGTTCTTTGGTGTATTTCTCAAATATAATAAGCAATAGGTCAATTATATTTGGTGTATGGAATGATTATAGGGTGTACATGTCTATCTGGCAGGGTTCATATGACCTTGACCTCATTTTCATTGTCCGTTGGTCAATGATGAGTTTTTTGTAATTTTGTCAGTTTATCAGATACTATAAGCAATATGTCAATTATATTTTGGTGTAAGGAATGATTAAAGGGTGTACATGTCTATCTGTCAGGGTTCATATGACCTTGACCTCATTTTCTTTGTTCATTGGTCAATGATTTTTCATAATTTTGTCAGTTTATCAGATACTTTAAGTAATAGGTCAACTATATTTGGTGTATTGAATGACTGTAAGGTGTACATGTATGTCTGGCAGGGTTCTTATGACCTCGACCTCATTTTCATGGTTTATTGGTCATTGTTAAGATTTATGGTTTGATCTGTTTCTCAGGTACTATTAGGGATAGGACCACTATATTTGGTGTATGGGATGATTGAAGGTGTACATGTCTGTCTGGCATGGTTCATCAGACCTTGACCTCAATTTCAAAGAACATTGATAATGTTAAGTTTATGTGATACTTGTAGTAAAACCTTCATATAACATACTTTCAACATGAAATCAATGATAAGTAAAACAGGCGAGACATTTCAGTGTGTGCTCTCTTGTAATGTATTTATCTTTTTTTTATTTTATGCCCCCATCGAAGATAACAGGGCATTAAGTTTTACCCTTGATCGTCCTTCCGTCCATCCATCCATCACATTTTTATTTCCGCACACTAATTTTAAGTTTGCCTCCTGCAAATTTTATGAAACTCATACACAATGCTAAGAACCAAAACTTGCAGACAGAGATCGAATTTGGGCAGTGAGTCCCGTACCATTCTAGAGCTATGTCCCTTTTAACTTTGAAAATTGCAAAGCTTAAGCAGGGGCATTCATGTCCTCAGACACATTCTTCTTTTATTTTTCAAGTTTTCATAACAGATGCAACTAGTGGAGCAGAAACTGCTTACCCTTCCAGAGTTTCTAAATTCACCCTTAGTTTTGTTTTTGAAAGGTTTGTGCAATTTCACTTTTCAATGTCTGTGTTGTTACTGTCAATACCAGCTTTGTCTATCCTTTATATGAAAAAGCCTTGTACTCATTTTATTGTTAATAGAGAGTTTACATGTACTGATGGTCAATGACTTTTGTGATGTTTATAGGTTAGTCAAAACTTTAATAAGTCTGTTACTGTGATGACTTCTCCAAATATATTTATCAAGGAGTTTTAACAGAACATTTAAAGGGAGCACTAATGGAGCTGCTGACCCTTGTCATACTTGTGGAGCAACTGAGTTCACACCTGGTTTTTGTTGAGGTTCATGTTGCTCTGTCTTTAGTTTTTGGTGTATTGTTTTGTTGACATGTACTGTGGATTCATTTATTTTCGTGGGTACCAATTTTCGTGGATTGATGAAAACTTGCATATTCGTGGATATTTGATTTCGTGGTTTTGGAAAAGTCTGCATACTTTTCTGTAGAAAACTTGTATTTCGTTGAACATTTGAATTCGTTGTTCCCTTGTACGCACGAAATCCACGAAAATTGGTATCCAACGAATATGAATGAATCCACAGTATAGCCATTTATATATGTCCGTCATGGATGGGACATATTATGTTATATTGATATCTGTCTGTCGGTCCATCTGTCTGACATCCTTTTACACGTCAAACAAAAACTAGGGAATGCTTTGATCAAACATGATGGAAATTGTATGGTATACTAGTATAGGAATGTGTAGATTTTGAAAATTTTTGGGTTTGTTGTTCCAGAGTTGCAGGACTTTAACCGTCAGCTAGATTAAAGGCAACTTTTCACATACCAGTATCACTGCTTCACTCCAGTATCCTTGGACTAACTTTCTCAAAACTTTACAATGTTGTGGGGATAAATAAAAAGAAGCTGCTGTTGGATTCGAGCGCACCTAAGCATGTAAACAGCGGAGGTTAGTACAGTGTAGAGAAATGTCAAATGTTTAACTTTCCAAATACGTCTTGTTATCAAAAAGTGAAAATTAATGACCATATTATAATCAATGCCACCCAGATGTAAGAAACGAAAACGTAAAAGCAGTACACCAAAGAAACTGGAACATACAAGTATTGATTTGTGCGAAAGCCTATATTTTGACCCGGAAAATATGGTGGACAGTAGTAACATAAGTAACAATGAAAACAGTGATCAACATGAACAAAATGAACAAAATGACTCTGTAGATAAACATTGTGATCCCGCAGATCTAACTAGTAGTTCACAGAAAAAACAAATTAATACAGTCAATCAAAACCAAAATGCAGCAATGCAACAAGATGCATCACCTCCACCGATGCCGCCACCCCCCTTTTTCTTAAACCAATCAATGACGCCGCCTCCACTAAATCAACAAATGCTCGGATTTCGAACAGCATCACCAGCCCCACCTTGGGTATACCAAATCCTTATGATGTTAAACAATATCTCAAATTCTTTAAGTGGTATGTCAACCGAGGTGAAAAGCCTATCTGTGCGTGTAGCTAAGCTCGGAAAACTCTATGGATAATTTCTCCAAAGATACGGTAGAAAATGTTAAGACGGTAAATTCAAAAATTGAAGATTTGAAACGTGATAACGATGCAATAAAGATAGAAAATAAAAAACTTTTTGACACAATTACAGATCTTCGATGTCATGGATACATTGACAATTTATTGTTTCACGGAATTTCTGAGACCGAGGATGATACGTCCGAAAATTGTATTGATACTGTAGCGAGTATTTGTGATGACAAACTAGAATTAAATGATATTAAACATACAATTACAAAAGCACGTCGTCTTGGACAGAAGAACGCGGGACAGACAAGACCTATCAGTGTTCGATTTAAGGACTCAAATTCATGTAGTCAAGTTCGGTCGAATAGTTACAAGTTGAAAAATACTAATATTGGAATTAGCCAACAGTACCCAAAAGACGTAAACGACCGCCGGAAACGCCTTGTACCGATTTATAAGGAAGCAAAATTGCAAAAAAAGAAAGCCGTCCTTATTAATGATAAACTTTACATTGACGGGGAAAGAGTTTTTGCTGAAAAAACCGTGAATGACATCGGGGGCAACACTGAAGTCAAAGGCGTATGGAACTAGGAACGACTAGAGAATGACAAAACTGTTTCCTCCACCAAAATCTTATCTTGGAACATAAACGGTGGTCTAGGTGAAAAACTTGAAAACGAACAATTTGTTAACTTTCTGAATACATATGATATAGTGTTTTTAAGTGAATGTTGGGTGAAGAAACAATTCAATTTTACTATGGACCAATTCAGTTGTCCAGTAATTGTACCGCGTATGCGTTCGAAATGTACTCAAGGTGGGGGAATGGTTTTCCTGTATAAGAAACATTTAGAACTGAAAATCTCTGTATGTGAAATTATACAAGACTCTATAATAGTTATAAAAATCGACAAATCAATTTTTTTGAAAAATGATGAAGATAGATACCTAGTATTTGTATATATTCCGCCGTATAAATCGGTTTTCTACAAACAGTACGATGTAAATGATTTGTTTGAAGATCTTGAATCCGTCTTAGAAAATTACTCAACAAAAGGAATAAGTTTTATTTGTGGGGACACTAATAGTCGGACAAGCACTTATGACGATTACATAAAAGAAGACAACTTGCCGGATTCTCTTGTTGACCTTACTTCATATTCAGCCGATTCACAACTTTCCCTTAGAGTAAATCCTGACTTGAAAATTAACACATGGGGTTTAAAATTACTTTCTTTGTGCAAATCATCCGGATTTCGAATTGTTAATGGACGCCATAGCGAAGGCTACACAAACGGTTATACATACTGTGGTGCGAACGGAACTAGTGTCAATGACTATCTTATTACACAGGAACAAAATTTTGAATTGATTCGTAAGTTTATTGTATGTAGTTTTACGACATTTTCGGACCATGCTCCACTGCACTTCGAATTTGACTCCGTACAAGCAACAACAGTAAATAACAGATATAATTGTATACCAGAAAATGACGTATTAACAGTGATTAAGTGGAAAGACGAAAATAAATCCGAGATTCGTGAGTCTTTCCGTGTGAATCATGATCTACTTAACTCGTGCTTTGAAAATCGTGACTAATCATCAGATGCCGATATAGACAAATGTGTAAAATGTTTTTCGGAAGCGGTTGTGGCTATTGCTGAACCTTTTTGTAAAGTTACCACAAGACATAAATCTGAACACAAAAACGCAAAGCTGAATTTTGATAAACCGTGGTTTTCAGATGAGTTGAAAACTTTACGTCGAAATTACATCAGGGCATTGAATGCGTTTAACAGCAACAGTTCTACATATAATCATAAAACATTAAA